CATCGTATCATCAGGGAGATAGATGTAAGTATTCAGCGTTCTCTTTCTGTAAGATAATGTTCATCTGTCTATACACTGTACGCTAATCACCCCTTGTCTAGATTATGAAAGCAAAACAATATGATAAAAAGCAGTAAAACTGAGCTATCAACCCTACAACTGATTCATGTACTATATTGGACTCAGTAAGATAGCGACCTAGCATATGAGAGAAGCCACAACAATAGCACTCGACACACGCCCTTTTCATTTCATCGAAAGCATTCCCGATGTCAAGGACGTATATTTGTTAATACACGGTACTGCATATTGACTATGAATATGGTCGTGTCAATTCGTTTGATTACTCGTACCTCTAATCCATACCTGGTACGAGGGGTGGCTGAAATGTTCTGTGATTAACTATCATGGACTATGTTGATGGGGCTGCTTGCTTATTAGCTTTCCGGCATAATCCTCTCAAAGCTGCACCCTTCTGACAACCATCCTGGACCCCACTGTTGCAGAAGACTGTCTCCCTATATTGTACAAAATACTCCATAGCAGACATGACGTCATTATCATTTGCATAATGCTTGTCGGGGTTTTCCTTTTAGGAAGAAGGTGCCACATTTTTTTGTGAATGCGGAGGATGTTCATTCAGTGACGAGTCCAAAGCAACTATCATGCATTACAGCCATTGAGGACAACGGACGTGTGCACAGGTGCATTTTCCAGGTGGTATACGACGCTTTTAGTGAGCTTAGGTGGCGTTGAGATATTGTTACGATGTTGCCTTAGGAAATTAGCATATTGACCCTTTATGTTCTTATCGTCTGTAAGGCAGTTCCCTCTTGGGATTCGTCCATAAAAATGAAGCCATCACAGAATTGGACTCGCTCAACAAAATCAGCTTGGTTTACTTCAAGCGATGTAAAATCGCACAAGAGATACCAAAATATTTGATGTGAAGTGTCTACATGGCAGCAATCATTTGGCCGTCAAATCAAATTCATAATAAAATATTTTTACACAATGTTTAATCAACGCACTCATGATTAAGATAATATGAACAATACAATTTCAATTTATTCTCTGCCCCATGTTCTCGACTAATCTGCCGTTAATTCCCTTACATTCTAAACTTAGTAAGCATCATGTTGCCACGGAAAAACTATTCAGGTTGCCAAGCCACGTTTGATGACCAGGCCCGTAGGCCCGTCTTCAATTTCAGGGGTGCAACAATAGACCTTTATTTATTATGAAAATATAAAACTTGTATATGGCTGAAATATTACTGATGTGACATAAAATCTTAACTCACTCACTCACTCACACCCTGGTTCTTTTAAGAGACCCCTGGTCCTTTTTGTTCCCTTGCCACTAATTTTTCTGAAAACTCTCTCCCTCAGGGGGGCGGTGTCACTTGCTGGTAAGGGATTCGAAAAAAAAACCCCAGCCTTGTGTGTGAGTTGTACGTGTGAAATTGAAATTTCACTGCACACGCTTGTTGATTACCTGGTAGTTCTACCAGCAAGTTGTCCCCACTCTTGAGAAATGACAAAAAGTGACAAAATAATGATCGTTTGTTAAACAATTTTTTTATTCGGGTGTCAAAAATTATGAGACAAATCATCAGAGTTGGTCTGTCGATTTCATGTGACTGTGCACAATTTGGTTTTGTTGCAGTGATTAGATTTTGTGTTAGTGAGTAATTCATCGGTCTCAAATGAAATCAAACGGACAGTGCCTTGCATTACATTACCCGGGACGTTTCATAAAACGGAGCAGCACCATCGGTATACAGTCATCTATGTCCACATGAAATCGAGAAGGCATCCAGACAATTCCATTTCCGCAGAAACATATCGGCCGGCGAGTATTTGGTTCAAATGCATGGACAGGGCCGTACAGACTGTTAGGTGTATGCTACACATCCTACATAGACTCAGAAAGTTTGGTAATGAAAGTATTCTACCTAAATATCATTCAAGAGATTGTCCGGCACAGCGTGGACTGACAGGTATTCCTTGTCACGACTTCAGTGGGTTTCTTCGCCTTTTGCAAGTGATAGCAACCCATACTCAACTCTGAATAGACATGATATTTAAAGTTTTTCCCGTCTTCAAAAGTGGAAATTGTGAACATTATCGTTGGTTTGAGTGGTTGTAGAGATTTTACGTGCGCTTTGGTCGTGGTACAAGACATGGATATCATTCAAGATGGGGCTTACATAGTAACGTATGAACGCTCGGTTACATGTACTCGTCAAGACTAATCGTCCGTTTTACAGACAAACAGACAGACAGACAGATATTTATTCACGTCTCACCTCTTAATATAAAAATACAAACATAGAATTTACTGAAAAGTACTGCAAGTCACCCAAAAAGGGTTATGGGAGACGATGTAGAACGAAATGACATAAGATATTTACAAAAAATAACAACATTTTGCTTACCACAAAGTGCATTAAACGTACATAAGATGATCAAATACACACATATTGTAAAGGTATTTGTTAAAGATGAATTGTATGGAAGGGTTATGAAGCACACATTTAAAATGTAAAATATAGACGGAAAATATACCATACAGATGCATACATAGGATGTTTCCAAACGATAAAACAGTTAGCTAGGATATAAGAAATCTATACGGGTAGTTCAAGTAGCTTTGCAGGTCTTGGCACTGATTAAAATCACTTCAGATGAAAACAGAATGTAACCCACTTTCTGTACATCACTACAATCAGAGACGTCAGGGCACACTAAGACACACTGAGCATACAGGTCATGACTGATATCTTCAAATAGTGGACAGTGTAGGGGGCATGCATCTCGTCTTCAACAGCGTGTGTACATACAAGACAAGTCCTCTATTCTACAGGCGTGTTAGGGTATCGTCCAGTCTCAGGTTCGGTCCCATACTCGGTCTTGAAAGTGCAGTAGGTGCGTAGTTTGTTCACTCTGTTTCCTTGTCCTCGTGTAGATTCAGTTATCTCTCTTTCCCGTTTTGATAAAAACTCGTTAAAACAGCTTCATCTATCTTGCCTGAACGAACCTCCCATGGTAAAAGTGACCTATAGCTGAATAGTGACCCATTCCCAGTTGGTTGAACTTATTGATGATCCTGTACACTTGGTTTCTCTTACGTCTGGCAGCCCACTGTTGAGTCCATATAAATATGTGGTGGGTTAGTTTATCAGAAGCCATGTTGCGGAGTCGCACATAGAGGCGCGTCACACATCTCCACTGCCGGACGGTCGGGGGGACCCAACCCATATCTCCACCCACTGCGTTGTTAGGGGCAAAACGTCGTAGACCGAGGAAGAAGCGCATAGCCCTGTACTGCGTCTATGTAGGACATATTGTAGGTTCCCCATATACTGGCGATGACTGACCACACCATAGAGTCGTATAACTTTGTAAAAGTGTCGAATGCCATACCACCTAAGACCTTGTACTTGGAAATGAGCTCTTTGAGCTCTGCTAGCTGAGCTGGAAGATGCTTTTGCCATTCGATTGTAGTCTGTTAAAAGAATTCCAAGGTAATTATAAAAAAAAATCATTAATTTAAAAAAAACATCATCTTCACAGGTAAAAGTAGCAAGTGCCCGAGGTGTCGATACTGGTCTAAAGTGGATGATCTCGGATTTCTCTTTGTTGACAGCCATCCAGTTGGTTCGACACCAACTGTTGGGACAATCTAGCATTAAGTTCAAATCACTTTCAGATTTAGCAAGTAAAACCAAGTCGTCAGCATAGGCGAAGGCTAAATCATTCTTGTCGTTTATGGCAACGCCGATAGATAAATCATTTATCATGGATAAAAGATCATTTATGTAAAGGTTTAAAAAGTCAAAGTGAAAGTAAACATCCTTGTTTCAATCCGCATTGCACATCGAACCATGACGTATGTCTACTGTTCAATCTCGCAAAGCACACGATAGTCCTGGGAGATAATGGATATTAAAATTTCACCTTTTATGTTCGCTTCCAGCAATTTTGAGCACATGATCGAGCGATCAATGCAGTCATCATCCTCAATATCTCCAGGGTATACGTTCCGATAAGCCTCCGCTATACGATGGACGCATCCACGGCTTAGGGGCGATGATTTTATTACCTCCCTTTACTGGCTTTTGATCCAATCAGGGGTATACGCTGGAAAGTTGGGCGAACCAATCACAAGGCTTCTATCATAATGCTCTTCCGCTGCTTCGGTAAACAGTAATGGCGGCGAAAACAATTGACTTCGATCGGGTGTGTTCTCGCTTCAACATAGCAAAGTTGGCCCCCGTACAGGAAGAAGCGCTGAAACATCACTTCGATGGAAAGGACGTTTTCTTGTCCATTACAACGGGCGGCGGGAAATCTATTTGCTACCAAGCATTCCCAGTTTTGTGTGAACAGAAAAATCTTGATTGTAAGATTTTGATAATATCGCCCTTGATTTCAATCATGAAAGAACAGTGTCGGGAACTTGCCAAACTTGGATTTTCAGCATCTTACATTGGAAAAATCAAGATCGACGATGATACTATTTACAGTGGTGTTCAGTTCACCAGAAGCTCTACTCTCAGTGGCACGCTGGCGGGAGTGGCTACAAAATCTCCTCGTCATCGATGAAGCCCACACTGTAATTATATGGTAAGTACCGGCATTCACAATTCAGACGATGATTATAATGAAATCGATCGCAAAAGATAAATCTTTGTAATGCCGTTGGATGATCCATAATATTTACTGACAGTAATTCTTGCCGTATCGTAGATAATGCAATCTTCAGATAAGGAAATGAAGGCCCTTTCGTTGGTCAAGACGTCCCCTCCAAACACCACCTGACCGCTGAGTGTCCCATCTGTAAAACATAATCATAAAATATGAATACGCCACTTAAAACATTTGCATTTATTATATATTATAGCTATAACCTCATGTAATACATTACATAACACATACTTGTAGTTTAGGTACAACCCTTTATGCTGCACTTTAAATATCCCTTCTGACTGAACATCATTCACAAATATTAAAGTTTCTATAGATTATACCTTCTTTTGCTACTGTCACTTGGTGAACTTTCTGTAGGATTTTCACCATGCCCTCAGAAGAGTTTTCACTCTCATCAATGAGATCTGCTATGTGGTACACTGACTTCTTACTTGTTTCCTCCAAGTGCTTGTGCTTGATAAACTGAGGTAGCTTGATGGTGCTGAGAGCCTGTATGTATTGTTCCAGGATCTTTGCTACCTGAAATTGCTGGTGTTCATGAAGCAATGACACGTCGTCCTTACTTGGAATCCATGCAATGGCTGGATGGGTAACAATATCCGCACTGGGTAAATCGGAAGGAAGTTCTGTGTTGGTGAGTCGCTTGTCCGAAACAACAAGGAGAAACCAGTGCCAGCTCTTTCTCTGGAGCTCTTGAGCCATGGTTCCAGGGCTTACAAGAATGTCAATATTATCCCCTAGTACTTCAAATGATGGCACATGGGTTGATCTGCTTGTTTGACCCTTGTTGTTAGTGTCTGCTACATGAGAGGACTTGTTGCAGTTGAACATCTTGTCTATGCGCACTTTGTGTTCCTCAGCAATCACCTTCTTTTTCCTCAAAACACTTGTCTGGGATGTAGCGATTCCCATATGGTTCATCAGGGTCAGACACTAAACAAGAACATAAGAACAGTAAGTAAAAGTTCAGTGGCAATCTCTTCCCTTCATGACATATATATCAGCTATTTCTTTTTTCACCTAAAACATTCTACTCATTTACCTTCAAAGGCTACCTTTTAATAATCTTCAAAACAAAGGATGCTATGATTGCTTGTAAAGAGAGCATGGACAAGTTCTAATTCTAACCTGCGGATGGGAATTTCTTAGAGGTGAGGCATGAAATGACATTTTCAGGATATTGTGAAAGGTCATGTCTGTAAGGAAAGCTAAAATTGTAAATATTTCTAACTTCCTTACTTCTTTTGTTGCTCCACAGTAATCCAGTATCAGGCCATTGGTGTATTGAACCAATGGTGTGCAAAGGATTGGCATCTTTGATGAAACATCCCTTTCTTTGACATCTTTGGAAATAACTGCAACCATAAAATTCAAAGATGTATGCAAAAAAATGTATACCTGCAGGAAAGGCAGAATGTATGATGCAATTGACATAATCAAGGATGTACATACACTAAACATGTCAATGATATGAAGGAACAATCTCAAATAATCATCATTAGATATCATTACTTTAAACATAGGTAAATTACAATACACTGCCTTACCTGTTTCAAACACTGTCTGTAACAATGGTGCAGAGACTGCCAACTTCTTCCAAATTCTATGCCAGCTAAAAATCTTCGCATGTGAGCATTTTAGCTTTCATGAAAGGTTCATCTTTCTGTTGAGTGGGCATCTTTCTTTCCTCAACTTTTGGCAAAATCTTTTGATTATGGGAAGATCATATTTCTTATCTTGTAAGCAGTTAACGAGAGCCGCTGGGCCATTGTGATGAAATATGCTTTTGCAGATCTTCTCCTCAACTGGACCATGAACAACTAGGGACCTTTCTTTGCCAGGTGGAACAGAAACAACCAACTGCAAACAAAAACAAAAACAAGGCATATATTGTAGCTATGTAAACGGAGTCATGTTATGATTACAAATATGTCTGTCAAAATCATACAACGCTTACAAATATGATCAAAATGAGTTTTTAGTATCTAAAGGGGTAATCAATAACAAATATGGTCAGACTTCCGCCCGTATTCCCCCTAAATTTTGACGATGAGGAGAAATTTCTTGAGTGATATTTATAGATGTTGGATATATCTATCAGTATGTTGATATAATTAATGAAACATGTTAAAACTCATCCTGATCAGATGACGAATATTGTTCAGGCGATATGATTTGATATGATCAAACAATGTCATTAATGGGGGGATACGGGCGGCAGTCTTTCCAAAAACATTCAGCAGACAGGAATTCTTGTCAATGATAATCACAAATTCAACTACAAGCAATGTCTATTCTATTTTTTCATTACCTTGATCTTGAAAGATTCCGGCGGTGTCATTTGTAGGCGTGTTTGGGTGCCAATGTCCACAGTCTCCTTGGCGATGTCGTATGAGAGTTTTTTTCGGCTTCGTCGTTCGGGCGATGGCTTTTCATACGAAATAAACTTCTTGATTATTTTTGGTGTCGGTGTTTCCAGACGGGGCATCCGTTTGTTACCTTTCGTTGGCGTGTGCCTAATCGCAGGTGATTTAAGTAGTTCAATCAGTTCCTACCTTGCCATTCTCAGTCTGTTGACTTTTGCTTCAATGTCGAAGTCTATTTTCTCTAAACGATAAAACTTGGCAACACAGTTGTTGCAGAGGTACCCTGAAAGAGGTAGCAGGAGTTCTTGCATGTATTTTTTTAAGGTTTCTGACCTGTCGATTAGTCTGTATGATTTTTTACCTAAATCTGATTCGCACAGCGAGCAAGCCTTTCCGGCAGCGGCCATCTTTGTTGACACTGACAAGCTCGGTCGTAACGGTTTATCTGATTGGCTACTGTGAGAATTAAGGCTGAGCCAGTCAAGGGAGGTAATAAAATCATCGCCCCAAGCCGTGGATGCGTCCAGGGTATAGTGGAGGCTTATCGGAACGTATACCCTGGAGTTATCGAGGATGTGCAGTCATGTGCCTTGTATAGATTGAACGCTGTAAAATAGAATTTTTTCATAGGTTTGCGTATTTCAATAATCGATATAAGTGATGAAACATGTTCAGTGGTAGAACGACCTCTTCTAAATCCATTCTGGTTATCTTCTAAAACCTCGGTCTCTTCTATGTGGGTTGACAGGCTTGTATTAAGGACACTTGAATACAGTTTATAGGAAGCACATGTGATCTGGTGTCTTCTATCACTGCTTTAGGGATCGGGTTGATGATGCCTTTATTCCAACTGATAGGATACGTCCATTATTATAGTCTGTTTGGGTCAAAATGATACTGATCACAATCTAACTCCAAATCGGTTCAAGATCAAACATTCATTTCAACGCAGAATGTAATGAAAACATCAGAGTTACTTAACAAACTATCATCATTTTGTTTCGATTTTCCGTTTGAGTTTTACGAGGGTAAAGAAAGTAACAGTAGTACTGTTGTAGGAACAGCCTCAAGGACGGGAAGCACGTGCAGCTTAATTAGGATGTCAACAATTAGGGGTTGTATCAAAACTCTTCCGGACCGGAATCTATCGGTTTCTTGTTACATGGTTCTGTAGAGGTGCTATCTACCCATTGTGTGCTTTCAGTGTGGCTGGCGTTCACCAATGTTTCACCAAAAAACACTGGTTCGAATCCTTGACGGTTTTTGTCTGATAATGCGTAAGTATGTGTTGCGTAATCGCACGATGTTAGCTCTTTCACACAACACTGTTTTCCCCACTTACCTTTTTTGTAACGAAACCCAAATGTATGCAAAAGTTTCCATAACTGATATTTGGATATAGTCAACGAATGTTCTGTATCCAGGAGTTTTCGAAAATGCGTAAGTAAAGGAATTTATTTTTGAGTCTTCTAATAGCATTTCTTACCAACACTTTCTAAAACAGTCAAGTGTGTCAACTTTGAAATTTGGCCCAAACAGACTTTTAAACAAATTGTAAAAGTCTATGTAAATACCATATGCACTTCGTTGTTTAAAACGTCAGAGGGGATGTTATCAAATCTACTTGCTTTCCCCTTCTTTGCCTTGGTGACTGCAGCTCGTACTTCGTCCAGTGAAACAGGTCGGCAGACACTGGTCACTATCCTCAACGTGTGTCAGGGGACAAGAGTCTGTGGTATTACATTTTAACAGCTTAGAGTAACTTGGCTTCGACTTGTCTGAGTCAAAATCCTGTTCACTGGTAATAGTCCCGTCCTCCAATCTCACCTCCATGGGGATCCTATTTCTTCTCTCACGACCTACTCCTATGTTATCGATTTTCTTCCAGAATTGTCCCACATCAGAAGAACTTAGGTCTTCCAGTCCTTTTGTTACTGTCTCGCTTGGCAGTTTTACACTTTCTATCAAAATCCTTTCTCTTACTGACATATATGCCTTTAAGGTGGTGTTTACGTGCTCCTTGACACTTGCGCCAGTCTCTTTCCGCGACACATAAACTATTCCAGAGAACTGTTAACTATTAGGTCCACCACTTCTTCTTAGTTCTGCGTCGCTTGTTCCCACACTCTGCATCATGTATGCTAATTCTTATCATAATGTTCTTTCATTTCCAATTATACTAAGCAGATAAAGAAAGGACAGTTTGGACTTTTCCTTCGCAGAAACGGATAACTGTAAATTCATTTAATGTTTTGATTGTATATTTTTGACAACATCTCCAACTTTACCTGAGCAAAGACATTCCTTCCCAGAAATCAGAATTGAACCTAGGAAATGGTCTCAAAAACGCAACCTAATCTCGGTACGGTGTTCTCCATGTTTTTCATGCAACTCATGCTGGACGTGCTGTTCACAAGGACCAGCCCTATAAAATGCACTCCCAAACCTGGTTGAAACATTCACATTACAACGTCAGCAGGATGCCGCGACTCACGACAGCTCAGAGGAACCATGCGCTAGGAAGACTTGAAGCTGGCTACACTGCACAGGCCGTTGCCAATCACTTCCAGGTCAACGTTCGGACCATCTACAGGCTGCAGCAACGTTTCCGGACCACCAACACCACCAATGATCGCCCCCGTACTGGCAGACCAAGGGTGACCACAAGACGACAAGACCGCCATGTTGTACGACAGCATGTACAGAATTCCTTCATGCAGGCATCCGAAACAGCACTCCAGACAGTGGGAACACACAGAAGACCAATCAGTATTGATACAGTGCGCCGACGTCTTAACATCGGGAACCTCCATTGCCGTAGACCTTACCGTGGACCTATCCTCACCCCTCGTCATCGGCGTGAACGTCTACAGTTTGCCCTACAACACCAAAACTGGCGATACAGGCAATGTAGAACTGTTGTGTTCAGAGATGAGAGTCGGTACTGCGTATCAACTACAGATGACAGAACAAGAATATGGCGACAACGTTGCCAGCGTTACTCAGACCAATGCGTTATGGAAAGAGACTCATGGGGAGGTGCAAGCATCATGATATGGGGTGGAATAGGCCTGAACCAGAGAGTGGGTCCTGTGGTGTTCAAGAACCTTGGTCCACGGAGAGGAGGCGGCATCACAGCGGTGCGCTACATCGACCAAGCTCTGAGACCCACGTCATACCACATTTCTCACGTACCGGAACAACATTTCCCAGCATGATAAGGCCCGGGTCCATACTGCCAGAGCTACACGGGACTTCCTACAAAAGAATGGTGTCGGCATTATGCAGTGACCAGCCCCTTAGTGCTGTGTCTCCAGGTGCCAATGGCCTTCATCAATCGATTGGGGCACTCCATGCATAGACGCTGTGCTGCAGTTATTGCCACTCGTGGTGATCACACCAGATACTGACGTCAAGAGTCTGACTGGACTGCAAACGTTCACGTAATGTCTTGAAATTGTGCTGAGTTATTCATTGATGTGTCAAGATATTGTACACAAAAAATGTTTTTGATCCGCTTATTATGTCCATTTCTGTAATGATTTGACTACAGTGCCTATCTAATTTTGAATTCGTACTGACGTTTTTTTAATATACTGAGTCTATTAATAATATTTACACAGTCACCATATGTTTTGTCTAAGGTTGATTGACACTTACCGGAGTTTTCCAGTTCTGAAGTAATGTTATGTGTCTGCTTGACACTCCCTTCAAGATAAAAACGAGTTGCTGGTCACTGAGATATCAAACTTGATGCTATTGAAGCAGCTATCTGGTGAGATAGAGGCTACGGTAGTGTCCTTTATTTGAACGTCCACTGTTCACCGAAGAAGAGAGTGGCCCAGTTTAAGAACACCTGTGGGGTCAATCACACCTACATACGTGCTTATCAAGTCACTTGATCTAATCAACTAAATTTATCCATGCATTCATAGGCACATAAACAGTAATCAACCACATATTTACCACGACTGGAAGTAAAGGTAAAATCATTAAGTGCTCCCATTGAGATACCATACCTCTGATTAACCTGGATACCCTTTTCAGAACCAGTATAGGCGCCGAACATAAGGCAACCTTTTTATCCCCTGACACGCGTTTTGAGGGGGGTATTAAAATGGAATCCGTCCGTCCGTGCCACTCGTCTTTTCCGGAGCAGAATACAAAACCGTTCAATATATCTTCACCAAACTTGGCACATAGATAGGTCTGGTGGTGAACTGGTGCCTTTTGGTAGTTTTGGATTTCTGAATAAAATATGTTTTACGTTTCCATGGCAATAAAATTGACTTCGACTGAAATATGTGTTGGTGCTCTTTTTCCGGAGCAGATCTTTAAAACCGTTCAATGTTTCTTCACCAAACTTGGCACATAAATAGGTCTGGTGGTGAACTTTTATTTTTATATATAGTTTTGGGTTTCTGAACAAAATAAGTTTGACTTCGGCTGATATTGGTGGTAGTGATCCTTAAAACCTTAAAATCCTTTCAAACCATCATTTCACTTTGCTGGTATCCAAGAACCTAATGACATCAACATTACTGAGGTACATCAAACCGTACATTTGACATAGTCATAACTAGTTGACATATTCATGAAGAGTATTTTAGCATTGTGGGGGAATATTGATGACTTTGTCTTCTTGTTCATGCTTATTAAGAAATCACTGATATGATCAATTGTTTTAGAAATATCTGTATTATTTAAAAAGGGAGCAATAAAATATGCTGGCAATTAAATAAAGATGTATTTTATTAGTATTTGATTTTTAAAATAGAACTACATATATCTTAAAATCTCACTAAGATACCAATAAAACATTTGCCAAGACATATATCTTGCAATCTTGCAATTTTCCAGATGATACTTTTATCCCCACTGAAATGTCAATTTTTATTCAAAACATGATATTGTAATACTGTCAGTAATTTATATGCAATAAATCAAATTATAATTTAATAATGTGTAAATAATGGTGATTATATTGTTGCAATGTAAGAGATCAGAATATGTTTCTCATAAATGTATTCACTGTACATCCTCATTTAGTGTGTGACATGTTCAGTTAAACTTAACATCTACATGCTTAATATATCAAAATATGTCTTGATGACAGCATTACAAGGAACTCTTTTGATCGTATTTGTTATCACATATGTTATTTATTTTTTGCATTTGGATCAGGTTTGCATGTTTAGGAGGAGAAAGAGGGAAGAGTCGACCCCTGCATCACAACAATTACCATTATCCAACGCTGTCACAAATCTTCGTCACAATGTTACAGTACTTTGTCAGGCTTAACATCTGGGAAATGTGAAGAATGTTTCATACTTTATGAATAAATTACTGAAATTTTCTATAACTTCTTTATTACATTTTAGGTACGGAAAAGGAAAGTACCATTAAT